GTGAAAGCTCGTATACAACGTTTGTAGACACTTCTTGACAGCTGCTTTGAAATTTAGTAGAGAGTAAACCTGAGAGGCGTTTGTTGCACTCTTTTATGACTCCTAAATAATCATTGTACAGCAAGCGGTGAAAAGCGTTTATAGCACTTTTCAATGACTCCTTAACAACCGGATAGAAGCAACTTTTATACAACGTTTATAGATACATATTTAAACTCAAGCTTTATTATTTTGGTGAAAGCTCGTATACAACGTTTGTAGACACTTCTTGACAGCTACTTTGAAATTTAGTAGAGAGGAAACCTGAGAGGCGTTTGTTACACTCTTTTATGGCTCCTAAATAATCATTGTACAGCAAGCGGTGAAAAGCGTTTATAGCACTTTTCAATGACTCCTTAACAACCGGATAGAAGCAACTTTTATACAACGTTTATAGATACATATTTAAAGTCAAGCTTTATTGTTTTGGTGAAAGCTCTTATACAACGTTTGTAGACACTTCCTGACAGCTACTTTGAAATTTAGTAGAGAGGAAACCTGAGAGGCGTTTGTTACACTCTTTTATGGCTCCTAAATAATCATTGTACAGCAAGCGGTGAAAAGCGTTTATAGCACTTTTCAATGACTCCTTAACAACCGGATAGAAGCAACTTTTATGCAACGTTTATAGATACATATTTAAAGTCAAGCTTTATTGTTTTGGTGAAAGCTCTTATACAACGTTTGTAGACACTTCTTGACAGCTGCTTTGAAATTTAGTAGAGAGTAAACCTGAGAGGCGTTTGTTGCACTCTTTTATGACTCCTAAATAATCATTGTACAGCAAGCGGTGAAAAGCGTTTATAGCACTTTTCAATGACTCCTTAACAACCGGATAGAAGCAACTTTTATGCAACGTTTATAGATACATATTTAAAGTCAAGCTTTATTGTTTTGGTGAAAGCTCTTATACAACGTTTGTAGACACTTCCTGACAGCTGCTTTGAAATTTAGTAGAGAGGAAACCTGAGAGGCGTTTGTTACACTCTTTTATGACTCCTAAATAATCATTGTACAGCAAGCGGTGAAAAGCGTTTATAACACTTTTCAATGACTCCTTAACAACCGGATAGAAGCAACTTTTATACAACGTTTATAGATACATATTTAAACTCAAGCTTTATTGTTTTGGTGAAAGCTCTAATACAACGTTTGTAGACACCTCCTAACAGCTGCTTCGAAATGTATTAGAGATTGAACCTGAGAGGCGTTTGTTACACTCTTTTATGACTCCTAAATAATTACTATACAGCAAGCGGTGAAAAGCGTTTATAGCACTTTTTAATGACTCTTTAATAACCGTTGTGTAAGTACTCACAATATTCACAGATTAAAATTAGTTTAACAATTGTCGTGGTACGCCAAAATAATTGCTTGTACAGTTTTTATTAATTTAATTTATTTGTGCACATTGAAAAAATATGTAATTATGCCATAATTCACATTCTGTGATCATGGAGGAAGTAGTAACAAGCATCTGTTTAATCTTTGATTGATATTCTTTCAATTAATCTCTCTAATCATTAATTGAGAGAATTTATCTAGAAATGTTATCGTTGATTATATGATATATGTCTTAAATTAATGTTTGCATTTATTAATAACACCTATATATAATTTACCTCTACTCCACCAAAGGTTTCTCGAAGCAAGATTCGAACTCATGATCCCGGATTGCCAGCCGCTTCTGTTTCCATCTGCTCTATTCTTGAATACATATTTTGATCATATGAGAGAAGTATATCAAGCTCATCTTGAGTAACTTCTCTTGCAGTCGAATAATCATTGCCTTATGGTTATATAAACATGCCTATCACTTGTGCTATTTTTAGCAACAAAATTGTGGTTGGTCGAACGTAAACAATCATTTAAGAGTGCTCCTAGCAGTTTTTGAAGCTTTTAACCAAATGGCAATACAACTACATTCTTGTACAACTCTGGAAGCTATTATTCAACGTTTGATCAACTCAGGTGTTTTATAAGAGCTCCCAATGGTTTGTTTTGATGCGTTTATTCCACATCTTATATGGCTCCTGTCAAACAGTTTAACCGAACGTAAACAATCATTTAAGAGTGCTCCAAGCAGCTTTTGAAGCGTTCAACCAAAAAGGCAATACAACTACATTCTTGTACAACTCTGGAAGCTATTATTCAACGTTTGATCAACTCAGGTGTTTTATAAGAGCTCCCAATGGTTTGTTTTGATGCGTTTATTCCACATCCTATATGGCTCCTGTCAAACAGTTTAACCGAACGTAAACAATCATTTAAGAGTGCTCCAAGCAGCTTTTGAAGCTTTTAACCAAATGGCAATACAACTACATTCTTGTACAACTCTGGAAGCTATTATTCAACGTTTGATCAACTCAGGTGTTTTATAAGAGCTCCCAATGGTTTGTTTTGATGCGTTTATTCCACATCCTATATGGCTCCTGTCAAACAGTTTAACCGAACGTAAACAATCATTTAAGAGTGCTCCAAGCAGCTTTTGAAGCTTTTAACCAAATGGCAATACAACTACATTCTTGTACAACTCTGGAAGCTATTATTCAACGTTTGATCAACTCAGGTGTTTTATAAGAGCTCCCAATGGTTTGTTTTGATGCGTTTATTCCACATCCTATATGGCTCCTGTCAAACAGTTTAACCGAACGTAAACAATCATTTAAGAGTGCTCCAAGCAGCTTTTGAAGCTTTTAACCAAATGGCAATACAACTACATTCTTGTACAACTCTGGAAGCTATTATTCAACGTTTGATTAACTCAGGTGTTTTATAAGAGCTCCCAATGGTTTGTTTTGATGCGTTTATTCCACATCTTATATGGCTCCTGTCAAACAGTTTAACCGAACGTAAACAATCATTTAAGAGTGCTCCAAGCAGCTTTTGAAGCGTTCAACCAAAAAGGCAATACAACTACATTCTTGTACAACTCTGGAAGCTATTATTCAACGTTTGATCAACTCAGGTGTTTTATAAGAGCTCCCAATGGTTTGTTTTGATGCGTTTATTCCACATCCTATATGGCTCCTGTCAAACAGTTTAACCGAACGTAAACAATCATTTAAGAGTGCTCCAAGCAGCTTTTGAAGCTTTTAACCAAATGGCAATACAACTACATTCTTGTACAACTCTGGAAGCTATTATTCAACGTTTGATCAACTCAGGTGTTGTATAAGAGCTCCCAATGGTTTGTTTTGATGCGTTTATTTCACGTTCTATATAGCTCTTGTCAATCAGTTTAACTAAGGTGCTATAAAAGTTATCGTAGGTCTTATAAAGCATATAGTTAAACCGAACGTAAACAATCATTTAAGAGTGCTCCAACAGCTTTTAAAACTTTTAATCAAATGGCAATACAACTACATTCTTGTTCAACTCTGGAAGCTATTATTCAACGTTTGATCAACTCAGGTGTTTTATAAGAGCTCTCAATTGTTTGTTGGGATATACACTGACAAAATGTATCAACAAACTTTTTTTTTAATCGACGATATTTTTAAACCCAAAAATATGTTTTTTTGAATTTATAAGAAAATATTGTAGATTCAATAATAACTAATTTTAGAAATAAAAATATCGAATTGTTGAATTCAAAACTTATATTTTTAGTTTCAACTACATGAAAATTCTCTGCGTGTGAGCAATTTGGATCACCAACATTAATGACCATACAAATTTGGTTGTTTAATACCCCGGACAGACTATGGCTTATATCATGTAATATAAGCTGTCTTGCAATGAGCACTCATACATAGGATTTCAAGTGAAAACTAGATGTATGGGTGCTCATTGCAAGCCAGCCTATATTACGTGATATAAGCCATAGTCTGTCCAGGGTATAACTTCGAAAAATATACCGATTTTTATACATCTCTAATAGAGCTTCGTTTTCTGAGCACAACGATAAATGTATCGATCCCGTATGCATCAAGATTAAAATTTTTGATCCTTGACACAAAATCTATTCGCTGACAGCTCGCTCCCTTATACCCCGTTCACATTACAGCGTATATCACGTGATATACGCTGTCTTGCAATGAGCACTCATACATCTAGTTTTCACTGGAAATCCTATGTATGAGTGTTCATTGCAAGACAGCCTATATTACGTGATATAGGCTGTAATGTGAACAGGGTATAAGAAATATCTGTTTACCTCAATAAGCCTAGTATACAGATCGAAGCGAAACGAAAATTGAAGCACGCGAAAAATCATGAAATTTCGCTAGCGAAAAAGGTTGTGGACCATTTTCGCAGTTTACAGTTCATGTGAAACGAAATCGATCAGTATACACCTCCGGTGAAGTGAAAATCTGACAGATACGCTCTTTCTCGAAACGTCAACTTTTCGCTTAGCTGCTGCTCTTTTCGCTAGCGCGGCATGCGTGTACACGGTGTACATACAGTTCAAAGCGTAGTGAAAAATTTGCCAATTGCGTTTTTCACGCAGGTGAAAAATTTAGTATTTTGTATGAGGTTTTCGCTCCGCTTCGATCTCTATACAGGCCTATACCCATAAACAATGAAATTTATGATCAAGGCACAAAACTGGCATCTGCCGCCGTGTTCGCGGAAAATGTTTATCGTAGCCACGAACACGCGTTGGTGAGTTGGTTCGTAATCTATTCCGGACGAATTATTTTTATCTAGTTAAAAAATGGCCATGGTTTTGACAGATAGGATCGCTGCACATTTGAATCGGCATTTTAGCTATTCAAACTAACGGGGCTCTACGGTATCCCCAAGCAATTTTAGCACATACAATTTTTCTCGAGACAGGACGCTTCCTTCAAACCTTAATTTTCCCCATCATGCATTATATCGTGTTTCCCGTCCATGAAAAAATCCGTGCTAAAAATATCGTTCCTGATCGACAGTAAAACGATAAGTTCGAACACCGTCAGTCCGTCACTCGCACTTTCTCCAACCGTTCGTTCACTTCACTCCGCGATCAGCTTCGCATCAGTCAGTCGTTTGTCAGTGCCGTTCGGAACCAGCGAAACACTCGTGTGCGGGTCGTTTCTACCGGGGAACCTAGTGTGCTTCAAATTTTCATTCCAACAGCGCTTCCCACCAGCGTCAGCTTTCTGCTCATTTCGTATTTTAGCTTGGTAAGTTTCCGGCACGTTATTCCCAAGTAGTTACCCGTGTTTACCGGTTACAATTTCTTTCCTGGATCGTCAAACTAAACAAAAAGTACAGTGAGTGCGTGAAAGATGGCCCCGAATGCAGCAGCCGCCGCAGCAGTGCCGATTCCTGAGCAGGAGCAAGCCATCGGTATCAATGCCATCCTGTTGGGACCGCCCGGTTCGGGCAAGGGAACGCAGGTAAGTCGAATTTCTATTGCCATCTATTCGCGAGCATTGGTAGAATTTAGCAAGAAGACATTTTGACCTTGATCCGAGGGGTAAGCGAAAATTTACTTCACCCCACCGTCCCGTGCCGTGCTACGTGTGCTTATTCCTACATTGTTGTGGTGCCTTTCGCGATTATGATTTTATTAAAGGTGCATTACATAACTTCCTTAGCGCTGCGATATTTAAACGTATCTAGCTGCTAAAATTATCAAAAGCCAAGGACTTAGTTTGCAAGCTTAACTTGTTTATCAGACATCGCTAAGTTTGTTCTTGATCCATCCAGTTTGGCGGTGACCACCGAAACCGCGAACATTTAGCTCTTGCGGTAATGAGAGGGAAACGAAGCGAAGAAATGAAGCATGTTTTTATCGATGTGGCGTTATTTTGCTATTTCAAGCTTTAAGGCCCCTTGCTCCAATGAATAATGACAGGATAATTTATTGTTATCAGTGTGCAGCAATACGCTCAGGTGCACTCTAGCTGCATAGCACTGTTATCTGCAGAATGGACAGATATCTAGATTTAGGGACAAAGGTCACTTCTTCCTGAGCCAGTAGAGTCGCTTGGTATAATATCTAATCTAATTTTAAATACGCGCGCAGTGCTGCTTTTTCGTATGGATTTCGAAACAGATTGATGATCTGAAACGAAAATGAAAGTTGCGGTGAATGAGCTGGGATTAATCTTGACGCGAATTACATATACCTATGTCGGTACCTAGTAGAGGCTCGTCTTATGTTCTCCTCTAACAAGCGGGTGATGGCGATCGTGTGATTTTGCTTTCTTTGGAAGTTAGGAACAACACTTTCACAGTGCCACGCTTGTTGTTATTTTCGTAGTAGACGTAATGGAAAGAATCTCGTATCAGTTCTGTCCCAGAGGCAGTCAAGATGATAACGATATCGAGCCGTAAAATCGACGGGTTTGTTTTAGTAACAGATTTTACGTAATGAAATTGAACATATGACTGAAATTCACTTGAAGCTGAGGGTGTAGGTTCTACACAGTAAAATGTGTAGGGCTGAGGTTTTTCTTCTTCGTTAAATGGGAACAAGGAAAGATAATTGAAAAAAGAAAATCAACCTCATGGAATTAATTATCTTGATTAAACAAACATCACACAAAATCTGGAGTTCATAGGATATAAAAGATATTGAAACTTAGAAAAAGCAAATGATCAAGAATTCCAAGATTAAAATTTTCAATTCCGAGCATAGGTTTTCCAAAAATGTTGAGAGTACTGAAATTTTGCAACATTGTTTAATTATCAGCATTTTTTGGCTAAAACTAAATTTTCCACAACTTGACTAACGCAATGATTTAGAAAAGGTTCATGAATTTGTTTTTTTTTTAATAAAACTAATCTTTCCTAACCCTTTCCCGCTCATATTTCCCGAGTTGGAGGCGAACCAGCCCCAGGCTGAAAGCCTCCCTAATAAAAATAAATCAATCAATCATATTTCCCGTTTCCTTACAAAAAGGGGCTGTCCATAAACCACCTAGGCAGTTGAACATTATTATTTTCCTTACGTCCATGCACACTAAACTAACTAAAAGAATCTCGAAACTTTGTTCTGGTCGCAAGAATTTTCAAATTACCTCGATATACGATATACGGTATTATTGAGAACCTACTTCCACTTCCAACATAAGAATCATACAATTGTTTAAAAAACATGCCCCAATGAGTGTGGAGAAGAGCCCCCCTTCTAATATCCTTTCCCGAAAAATAATATTTGGTGTGCCGTTTTTTACTATTGCAGAAAAAAATGTTCATATCTCCGTACATTATTTTTACGAATTACTTCGAAACAGGCTTGCAATTGCTCATTACAGCTTAAATGTTATTATTCAGAATTATGAAACTATTTATAAGAAGCAGATTATTATTTTAAGATTATTTTCCAACTTCTTTCAATCCGCAGGCTCCCCTGTTGAAGCAGAAATACTGCGTGTGCCACCTGTCGACTGGTGACATGCTGCGTGCGGAAATCGCCGCCGGATCCAAGCTGGGCGCCCAGCTGAAGAAGGTCATGGACGAGGGCAAGCTGGTGTCCGACGATCTGGTGGTCGATATGATCGATTCCAACCTGGACAAACCGGAGTGCAAGAACGGATTCCTGCTGGATGGATTCCCCCGCACGGTGGTGCAAGCTGAAAAGCTCGACGATCTGCTGGAGAAGCGCAAAACCGGACTGGATGCTGTGGTGGAGTTTGGCATCGAAGATAGCTTACTGGTGCGTCGTATTACTGGTCGTATGATCCACCAGGCCAGTGGTCGATCGTACCACGAAGAGTTCGCCCCACCCAAGCTGCCAATGACGGACGACGTGACCGGAGAGCCACTGATGCGTCGTAGCGACGATACCGCCACAGCACTGGTGAAGCGTCTCGAAGCCTACCACAAACAGACCAAACCATTGGCCGAATACTATGCCCTGCGAGGACAGCATTTCAGGGTCGATGCCGCTCGAAGTGCGTCGGACGTATTCGCCAACATTGATAGTATCTTCAAGACCCAGCGAAAAGCACGGTTGGGTCTGTAAGTGACGTCGCATTTAACGCAAATCCCCCTCCTAGTAAGGTCAGTTATTGTTTCGCGTTTGAGTTTTGTGATTTTGTTTTATCATGCCGCCGGAGATACGTGTAACCGACGAAATATCCCAACAACCATCAAACTACCTTGATTATCAAAGAGCGAGACAGAGCGGGTGCAACTGGGAACGATTTTCGCCTAAAGTGTATCCTATTCGTTCCGTTGTGCCCTTTCACCCGTCTGGGATTTATTAATGTAACCGTTTGTAAAACATTTCTACAAACAATCAAGACACTCTAATCATGTACCGACGACAAAGCTAACACAAGTAGGTAAACAAAGGAATTATCTATTTAGGGAACTCCCAGACAATTTAGTATTTTTAACAAAATTTAATAAGAATGATACATCGTCAGCAGATCAAACTGTGCTGACGTGCGTATTCATATTATGGAAGAGAATAAATAATATCAAGTGAAAAGCATAAAATGACGATAAATGGTGAAGGTCAATATTCCGAAATAATAGATCGAAGGATAATCCTTGCTGGTTCAAGTGAGCAAAGCGACTTGAATGGATCGGAAAGAGTAGCAAGCAATCGGTTCCAGGCAATATCTGTTTTAAATGTTTAACGTTGTTGGTGGAAGCAAAGCACATTAAAAAGGATGATATTGTGGTTCGAAGCAACATTGGCTGTAATCGTTCCGTAGAGAAAACAATTGAGAAATCCTTTGGCAATTGGGGGACTTTGGATCAGTTCTTAGGAAATAGATAAAACAAAATTTGCTGAACTTGAATCTCCATGGAAAATGCCCCTAGCCAAATTCACTTGGTGCTTTATGGGCTACACAAATCGCAATGGGGGCTTCCCTTAGTTCAGTCGGTAAAGGCAAAGCTACAAAACAAGACCATGATGGAGGTGGCTGGGTTCGATACCCGGACCGGACCGGTATAGGAATTTTTCGGAATGGAAAATTTCTCGACGACTCAAGCTCAACTCAACTCAACCATTTGCCGAGTTGAATTTAACTCGTGCAGGGCCAATCAGACAATCTTAGCGAGCCTATGTGCAGTTTCTTCCAAATCTAAGTATAAGTTTCGTATGGAAAGAAAATTCTCTGAGTCAATTATTCTCAGTCGCTGAATTGGTATGATTGGCCGTGTGGTGAAAAGTGACATTTCGAAAGTTATTCGCTATGTTCGAAAATGCCTGTGCTGTCGATCGACCGGTTTTCGAGAAGAACTCAGCCACGGTTGTCAAAATTTAACTTCTTGTCTGTCAGAAATAACCACGCTCGGATAGCAGGGTTAATCGATAACTTTCTATCTGTCAAATTTTAACCAAAAGTTAAAAAAATCCGCCAAACGGTTCAGAGCCTAAGTGAAACCAGTCAAAATTGAGTTCTTTGACAAGTATCCAATTTGAGTATTTTGCAAAGATATCGTTGTGAGTTAAATGTAACTGTTGCATAAAGAGTGGATATTGTGTGAAAAAATATTTACAACTGGATTTTATCTCAGCAAGTTTTATCGCAAAAATTGCGTTTAATTGACTTTCTTCAACGTTTAAATTAGGCATTATTAAAAATAAAACATAAGGGACTATTAATTAACTACAAAGACAGTTTTTTGACGTAGGATTACGTCTGTGCTTTCTATAAGGGGGTACACTTTGTGAAAACCGAAAATGGAACGGTGTAACAAAATTATGAAAGATTTTGAACATTAATAACTCAGCTGCCCCTGGACCAATTTCAATAATTTTATCACCAATCGATCGAATATTTCTACGCATAAGTAGCAATCATCAGTCGGGAGATGATTTTCAACAATAAACTATTGAAAAAGTGGTAATGTCCAATGTTCAAATAAAAAGTGATGATTGTATCACTGTTTTCATGAAATAAACGTTCTTCCCAAACCCAGTCGCCATAATCGAGTACCATTTGGTTGCACATCATTTTGATTTAACCTGAAAAGATATAAAAGAGCGCTGCTGTCTAGGCTCAACTCATCATTCTTTGCTCGACTGTCGAGCTGTTCAGTCCGTATTTTCGCTCGAGTTTTCGATTCGATTTTGTTTCGTTTTGTGCTGTCGCGTTGCGCCGTGGAAGTGTCGCCACCTTCTCGCGTTCTGGCAAGTTTAATTGAACTTGCAAACACGACACAAATGGTGCGTAAACGTGCCAATGACCCTTCAAAGAAGGTGCTAATCAAGCCCAGCGCGTCACAGGATGACGCCGGAAAACGAGTACTGCAAGCCAACCAGTATGCAGTACTCCCGGAAGAAAATGGCGATGGTGACGCCGTTCCCATTGCAAGACGAGAGCGGATTGCCCCGCTTTTCACACCGGTGAAGGATGTTGCCAAGCTGGGTGCCGAACTGGCAAAACACAAGCTGCTGCCTCGCTTCAAGCTTTGCAGCATCGGTACCAAAATCATGTGCTCCAGCCTGGAGGAGTACAAACAAATAGGAGGTTTCCTGAAGAACAACAACGTGGACTTCTTCACGCATGATCTGCCATCGAGCAAGCCACTGAAGGTGGTTTTGCGTGGATTACCGTCGTTCGAGGCTGCTGCGGTGAAGTCCGAGCTGGAGCGGCTTGGGCTCCAACCTGAGGCCGTGTTCCAGATGAACCGACGTCCCAACCAAAACACCAGCTTCCGTGATCAGTTGTTCCTGGTGCATTTCACGAAGGGATCCACCAGTCTTGTGGCTCTGAGATCCAAAATCCGGGGCCTGTTTTAGGTCATCATCAGTTGGGAGCATTACAAACCCAAACATCGTGATGTAACGCAGTGTATGAACTGCCTCTCATATGGCTATGGCACCAAAAACTGCGGCAAGTGTGCTGGAACTCACTCAACTACGTCCTGTGAGCAAGTCGATGACATCGAGCCAACGTGTGTCAACTGCTGTGGAAACCATCATGCCTCCAATCGCGGATGTCCCAAGCGAGTGGAGTTCATTAATATCCGTCGGAAGGCCACAATCAACAACCAGTTCGGTCGCCTTCGTAATCATCGTTCGCCTCCTGTACTAACGGAAGTCCAGTACCCAGCTCTCCAGCCCCGTCGACATGTTCCGAACCTAGCCCCGCTTCCGCTCAACAACCAACAAGCCAATTCCAGGTTCATCCACCGCCTCTGGTTTATCATACGCTGGTGCTGTCTCAGGTGAATCTGTCGAAGATTCTCCGTTCACCTCGGAGGAACTTGTGACGCTCGTGGCCGAGGTCATCATCATCATGCGTACCTGCAAGACTCGATCTGAACAGCTTCATGCTGCCTTGTCACTCGTCACCAAGTATGGACCGTGAAGCTATAAAAATTGAGCAGTGAGCGATGACGCTTGGGGCCTCCTTTACCACGACCAGTCAATTGTTGCTTGTTAGGTGTGAAGGAGTGGACTAGCCACCACCTTCCTACTGCTGCTATTGCTGCTCACCACGCTGCCGAAGCGAAAATAAGCTAATGCCATTTTTTTGCCATTTAAATGATCTTTATTTCTTGTGATTGTGTGGTTTACATGTATGAATTTGTTAAGTGACACAGATGCGTCTTTTCAACTTTAGTACATTTGAGATTTTAATTATTATTTACAGTTCCTAGTCCTATCAGGCCTATTTTGAAGTATGACCACCTTAGTGGGATTGGTATGATTTGAATTGGAAAAAGGAGACTACTTATAACTACTATTTACAACTACAACTAACCTACAACTACTATGTACACCTAACCTACTATATACAAATTGCTTATCAAAGCATGTTCTGATAAATTACATTTTTGTGCAAATTTAGTCTTAATTTCGTTAATTTTGGAATCTATTTTGGCAATGCCTGCCTCTTCATGTAAATTTGTTATTCTAGTGTCGAAAGGACGATCAAGAACCATCCTCAGCACTCTATTCTGAGCGACCTGAATTTTGTTCCTGTGAGTCTGTGCACATGATTCCCACACCGGAGCTGCGTAGAGGATTGCAGGTGCTATGATTTGTTTGTAGACGGCCAGTTTGTTCACCCTTGAGAGCCGGGATCTGCGGCAAATCAGCGGATACAGACTCCTAACCAAGGCGGAACACTTGACTACGGTTTTCTCCACATGCGAGCGGAATAGGAGCTTTTCGTCAAACAACATCCCGAGATAGGTTACTTCGGCGGACCACTCAACCCTTGTGCCATCCATGATTACAGTACAAGATGGAGCCGGTTTCAGTTTGGGCGATTGCCGATGTAGGAACATGATCGCTTGTGTTTTGGAGGGATTGATTTTAATTTTCCACGTGGTGGCATAATCAGCAAAGGCGTTAAGGCATCGTTGAAGTTTGTTCGTTATTTCGCGAGGCATCCTTCCTTTGACGGCTATTGCGGTATCATCTGCGAACAGGAAAAACACGCAACCGTCTCCAAGGGGAGGAATGTCGGAAGTGTAAATGCTGTAAAGCAAGGGTCCCAGCAGACTGCCTTGCGGGACTCCAGCTGGGATGGAAAACGTGTCTGAAAGACAACCATTCAACGATACCTTAAACGACCTTTGCTGGAGGTAGTTACGGGTAATTTTAACCAGATGTAATGGAAAGTTGAAGTTACAAAGCTTGTATACAAGCCCATTGTGCCAGACATTGTCAAACGCTTTCTCAACGTCTAACAAGGCCATGGCTGTGGACTTGGATACAGCTTTATTACTTCGGATGTTATTCATCACCCGCACTAGCTGGTGATTGGTGGAGTGCCCCTTTCTGAACCCAAACTGTTCCGGAAGGAGAATGTTATTTTCCTCGACAAACTTGAGCAAACGATTGAGAATGAGTTTCTCGAACAATTTGCTCAGCGCTGAAAGGAGGCTGATTGGTCTGTAGCTTGAAGCTAGCGTTGGGTCCTTCCCGGGTTTGCGGATAGGTATGATTTTCGCTGTCTTCCAGATACTTGGAAAGTAGTGCAGTTCCAAGCATCTGTTGAAGACAGCAGCCAGCAGAGAGTGAACCTTCATGCTGAGATTTTTCAACACTAGGTTGAATATTCCGTCAAACCCGGGGGCCTTCATGTTTTTGGTGCATTTCAGCGCTGAGCAAATCTGTTCCACTGTGATTCTATCCTCCGGAGGGATGGCACAAGGGAAGGAATCAAGGTTGAGTACGCATTGTTCAACCTGAACTTCGAGCGGACTTTGGATGTTGGAGCCAAGCATGTGCGATTTGGCAATATGCTCACCAATCGCATTTGCTTTCTCCTGAGGGGTAATTATGAGCCGATCGTCATCATTTTCATCTTTTAGTGGCGGAATGGGTTTAGGGTGCGTCTTTAAGACCTTGGCAACTTTCCAGAATGGTCTGGAGCGGTCGTCCAGATTCTGGACAAGCCGCCCGAAACTTTTGTTCCGGAGTGAGACCATTCTGGAAGCAATCTCCTTGTTCAGATCGGCCATTTCACGTTTCCTCGCTTGATCTCCAGTCCTCTGAAACTGGCGTCTACGAACATTTCTCAGGCGAATTAAGAGTTGGGTGTGGGAATCAATAGCAATAAACTTACCCCTCACAGGAACTCGTCGGACGCACGTCTCGTCAGCCACGGTTATGGCTTGGTGGAGTCCCTCCAACGCTCGGTCGATGTCCTCCACGGTGTCAAGCGGCGGGTTGTCGATGATGTGCCTGTCTACCACGCGTCCAAACTGGGCCCAGTTT